CACAGAAGACCCAATGCATGCATGCTAGTAATTTTTATGAACTCTTGTACGTTCTTCTCACATTCCTGATCATAAAATATATTCCTTGGTTCATACACGTCTTCTGTTTTCAAGCTTGATGCAACAGTATTGTCATCAATAATCATAGCTTCATATGCGGTCGTATCATCCTCTCTTCCTTGAAACGAAACCGTCCTCGGTTTCGAGTCGATCTCTTCAACAATAATTTTATTTGCAGATTGAACGACGACCGTAAAAATTTCAGCAACATTGACCTCTCTTTTCTTTGTTTCTTCCTGCTCTTTAATCTTTTCAAGATGTTCTTTCCTCCAAGAAATAAAACGCTCCTCACCCATTGGCACGAGGCTGCACTTCTTACCCCTCTTGACAGTATATCTATGTGCTTTGCAATCATACGTAACATCATGCTCTTTGTACCATGGCTTGCCCAATAACAAGTGACATGAAATCATTGATGCTGGAATCACATCGCATAAAACCTCGCAAAAATAATTTCCCAACAAAAACGGTACCTTGGTTTGGTGCGTCACATTGAGCTCTTCATGACCCCAACGAAACAAGTACGGTTGTGCTCGTAGTGCAATAGGTAGATCCAACTTCTCCACCATCTCGATGCTTGCGGCATTGATCAAATTCATGTGGTCGATCGTCATGGCACATGATCTCTCTCTCACCACCACACGGGTGTGAAAGAGTCCAGTCCAACGCCCTTCCTCCTCCAACTGAAAACCATAGCTTAACTTACTGAATAACGATGCGCTTGCCATCTGCTCCATAGTGTCGTGAACAACCTGATGCTCTGATACCACCTGATATGTGAACCGAACCTCGTTGGCGACATCCGATCCGTTGTTGCGGCCCGACCTTTCACGACACTCCACCACCAGCTGTAGCAACCTCTCGCCCGCGCACGCTATGTACACGAAGTAGAGGGTTTGAACCTTGCGGCCCAGCACGAGAAAACCAATCTCGACGAAGGTACTCACGCGCAAAACAATTTCCACGAAGAGAAATCGCAACACAGAGGTTTTCTAAAGATCCCTCCAAAACTTGATACGGGTGTCTACCCTGAAAAACACATCGTGTCTATTTCATATAAAAATAATAACCTCCCTTACATGGCACACGTACATGACCTTATATAGTGGTCGACCCATCTAACTTAACCAGCAAGTTCAACAAGTCTGTCTCTAATACAATCTTGACCTTCTACTAATTCAAATTGCATCTGCCTTTTATATCTCAGCAGGTACCAAATATAACTAAACCGACTCAAAATAAATAACTAAGATAAACAAGGAATTTGGACTGTGCGCCATCTTCAAGTGTCTCTTGTTCTGCAGGTGGGCCCCATCCGACTTCTTTCAGGCAAAAGTGGACACGTACAAATATTCTTTGCCAAGGAGTTTGTTCCTTGCGTGGCTGGAAGAGAAACAAATCTCTGCTCTTTATCTGCTTGCACGGACGTGACTCTATCTCCTTAAAATTATCAAATTGAACTCCTTCCAAATTATCTCCAAGAATATATTGTTTAACAGCCGTGGAGCCTTTCCAATCCATGACTAGCGCAGGTCCTTTCTTCCCGTGAAACGAAGGCATGCAAAAGGAACCCATGCATGCTTGTTTTTCCTTTGTTAAATAATGTCCACCAACGTGACTCACCAAAGCATCACTTTTCTCACCCATGCATGGTTGTACACACGAGCACAGAAGACCCAATGCATGCATGCTAGTAATTTTTATGAACTCTTGTACGTTCTTCTCACATTCCTGATCATAAAATATATTCCTTGGTTCATACACGTCTTCTGTTTTCAAGCTTGATGCAACAGTATTGTCATCAATAATCATAGCTTCATATGCGGTCGTATCAGGGACACTACATGATTATGAAGGATATCTTAGCTCACATGAATAGTATTTTGGTTTGTAATATAGGCCATGAACCACGCACATGTTAAGGAGGCTTATAGCGGAAGTATTCTTCTGATCCCGAGCTCATATGAACAGTAAAAAATCAATGCTTGCAAAGCTTCATCATGAATGACAAATGTTTTCAATGCTTGCAAATCTTCATCATGAATGACATTCGTGGAAGATGTGGTAAAAAATCAATGGTCAAAAATTCTTTTGAAAGTAACATTTTAAAGCATCAATTTTTTTGCCATGTTTTCCGTGAATGTCATCCAGTGATGAAACTTCGCAAGCAGTCAAAACATGATCAATTTTCGGCACAAAACATTTATGATTTTTTTTATTTTTTCATTTTATGTGATTTTACTGTTCTTCCGAGCTTACATGAGCTCGGGATCAAAACAGCCTCGTCCTACTCAAAGGCTAGCTCGAGTGGAGACTACTCTGGAAGTTGGTCATCATGTTTGGCTGGTTAATCCACCAAACAATCTTTCTATGCCCCTACTTTGAGATATAAATAATGGCCTTGTTTACCTTCACCTAAAAAAGGTTAAACATATTCTTATGAAATTGTGGTCTACCTTGGGCTTGTTGAGCTGGTACCCTCAGCGGAATCTTATTCATGAGACTTTGTGTGCGTTTGCATTCTTTATTTGAACTTTGTATGCTCGTGACGGTTTGCTTTATATATAAAACGGAGCGAAAGTCTTTTTCAGTTTGTAGAAGTTGGCAAGCCATCGTGCTACAAAACAGAGACGGAAAACACATGCAAATTTAGTTTGGGTTGGTGTTTTGGGCTTTTGGCCTTCGCAAAATAATTAAAAATCAATGGTAAAAAATGCTTTTGAAAGTAATATTTGAAAGCACCGATTTTTTTTGCCATGTTTTCCGTGAATGTCATCCGGTGATGAAACTTTGCAAGCAGTCTAAACATTATCAATGTTTAAACATTATCAATATTTGGCACAAAACCTTTATGATTTTTTTCCATTTTATGTGATTTTACTTTTCTTCCGAGCTTACATGAGCTCGGGATCAGAACAGCCTGGTCCGACTCAAAGGCTAGCTCGAGTGGCTACTACTCTGGAAGCTGGTCATCATGGTTGGCTGGTTAATCCACCGAACAATCTTTACATGCCCCTAAATTGAGATATATAAAAGGTGCTGTTTGCCTTTCACCTAAAGAAAATGTTAAGCCCATTCTTATAATTTTGTGGTCGTTTCGTAGAAGTTGGCCAGCTATTGTGTTGTAAAAGGGAGAGGAAAAACACATGCAAATTTAGTTTGGGTTGGTGTTTTCAGCTTTTGGCCTTTTCAAGGAAAAAAATAGGAGAACAAAAAAGAGAACGTGGTCGGCAGGATTCGAACCTGCGCGGGCAAAGCCCACATGATTTCTAGTCATGCCCGATAACCACTCCGGCACGACCACCTTCTGTGATTAGTCTCTGAATTGTGATTAGAGTACTGAGAACTTATTTTTGTCTAAGCCAGCAGGAGAACGCGGGCGATAAAACAAGCAGGCAGCCTTTTCGGTTCGGTGCCAGACAAACAAAGTACGTAAAACAAAGCCATTTCCAACGTACAGTATGTGATAAGAAGTAATGCTACATGTACAAACGAGTTATAAGGTTTTACAAAAAGGATTAATTTGATTGGTCAACAGGTAGGAAGGCGGCCCACCTTTCCTGAAAATCAAAGGAAGGGGGGCAAGTTTATGATTGGTTAGTAGATAAAAAAAATCCTAATCAGCATGTAATTGCGTGTAACTCTTTGTATGTTTATCTTATCCAAAAATGCTACACCTACGTAATGCGTGTTACGTATCTTACGTATGAGCTGATTTGGCAGATTTTTATTGGCCATTAGTTAGGGACGCGGGTCCACCCTTGAAATCAGGGGGGAGTTTGATTAGTGGGGGAGGGGATTACGTATGTTATGTAGAAGTTGTACGTAGGTGTAGCATTTTTGGATAAGATATCTACAAAAACCCAACATATCGATCGAATGTACACTTCAATTTCAACGCGAGACGCGAATCAACCTGTGGTTGAGTTGGTTAGGTGGACAGTGGTATCCCCAACCCACCAGGGTTCAAATTCTGGTGCTCGCATTATTCTTGAATTTATTTCAGGATTTTCGGCGATGCGCTTTCAGTGGGAGGAGACGTTCCCGTCGACGACGAGGCGCATACGGTGACTTCCTAAATCATCAAGATGATATGCCGGTCAGTCTTTCGAAGGTGCTCATAGAGGTAGGGTGTGCATGTGTGCGTTCATAGGGGTGAGTGTATGCGCGTGTATACGAGCGCTTGTGTAATGCTAAAAAAAAATTCAACGCGAGACTACATCACTGTTGTGTTCAAACACACATCATTCACGAACCACGAATCAGAACTATACTCCTCTCCAGTAAAAAACCATAGCATCAGCTCCTAATTTGATTTTGCCGCCTATGTTGTTATTGAGACGAACCTCCTGACGTTTTCTTGGCCGACGAATGGCCGACCATGTATGACCCGAACCCCCACACGGTGATCACCAGCGACAGGATCTTGAAGCCGCTCATGGGGTCGTGGAACCACACCACCGCCGCCACGCTCGTCAGCGGCACCCTCACCGCGTTCAGCACGCCGGCCAGCACCGTCGACCCCAGGTACACCACCCCCGTCGCCCCCAGCACCCCCAACTGGAACGTCGCCGCCGACCACCCCATCACCATCGCGTACCCGCGAACCCGTCGGTGGCCGCCAGCCCCGCCGACGTGAACGCGAACGCGCTCAGCGACACCGCCGCCTGCTGCTCCAGCACCACGTGGAAGCGGGTCGCGGCGGCACCGTCTCCGCTGCCGTTGCTGAGGTACTTGTCGAAGACGAGCTCCGAGAGCGCGAAGATGAGGCCGTGGAGCGCCGACCCGGCCACGTCCAGCGCGAACCCGAGCGCGTACTGCCGGCCCGTGATCCCCGGGTACCGGTCGGACCCCGAGTCCAGCGCGATGATCACCACGCCGGCGGTGATCACCACGATGGCGTTCAGCGTGGACAAGCCTATCCTGTTCTTCTTCCCCACGATGAGGCGGCCGAACACGGCGGAGAAGGCGAGCGAGGACGCGGCGACGAGGGACGCCGTGGAGGCCGGCAGGTACGCGTAGGCCCAGGCGTACATGAGGTTGTCGGCGGCGCTGAGCAGGCCGAGCAGGGCGTACCAGAAGCAGAGCCACGGCGACGGCGGCCACGTCGGCGACGCGTCGGTGAAGAGGTAGCAGGGGAGCAGCAGCAGCGCCGGGATGGGCCAGCCGGCGACGGCGGACCACGAGAGGATCCACTTGCTCTGGCCGCCTCCGTTGTAGTAGAGGCGCGAGAGCAGGCTGGCCGCCGGGAACGCCGTGAGCATCGCGCCGCCGCTGAGCGCGAGGAGCGCCCAGAAGGAGGCGGGCTTGCTGCGGTACGCCGCTGCCGAGGAGGCCATGAGCGAAGACGCTTTCTGGCGCAGCGAGACGCTTGGCCCTCCGTTGCTGGTGATCTCCGAGCCCGAGCCCTCCATTGCTGCAACTTATGGCGAATATCACAGTTCAGTTCAATAGAAACAGCACGTTCAGAACTTCAGATTTGGCACCAGAAACTAAAAACTAAATCTAGCAGAGCCATGTACAGTACTGTATCGAGGCGGCAACATTTTTCAGTAACTCGACCAAAAAAACTATTTTCAGTAAGCAAAATAACTGAACTAAGAGGTACTAGCTGTCAGCTAAAATTCATTTGGCTAGCCAAAAATCCATGAAAGTTAATTAGGTAAATCAAGCTCCCCAAAATCCACCATAGCATTGCTTCAGATTGCCGTCCAACAATCATTGCTAGTAGTATATATATTGTTTAATCAATAATAAAAAGGAAAGAAAAAAGGTTTATTTGATTCTTGGCTCCCCTCCCCACACTCTGCTCCACTGTAAAGCCACCGCAATCGATTGGCAATCAATCCTGAGCAATAAGTGGTAGGGTAGATTTCACAAATCTGGAACCAAAAGAACCTAACTAATTGCTGGGCGTACGTGCCCAGGGCCAGGAACCTTGGATTGATTCATCCGTTTCGCCCTAGGCAGGGATAGGAACGGATAGGATGAAGCAGAGAAGAGAAGCAACCAACAGAATTCCGGTCCGGTGAGCGGGGGCCGGATGGCGTGGCGGGCATCACCGCTGTCGCCGGATGACGAAGGGAGAAAGAAGTGGGGGAGAAGCGAATCGGACCTGTGAGCGGGAGCCGGATGGCGTGGTGGCGGAGGCCATCGCCGCCGTCACCGTCCTTCTCCATCGCCGTGTGGTGTGGAGCTAGCTTAGGGGTAGAACTAGCCTGGAACACAGCGACGACTCCCAGCTCATCTAATTTATGTGGGCGAGCCTTGAGATTGATTGATTGATCTATACTACGACGATGGTAGGTCGAGTCGCAGTCGCATCGGAGCATGCTCAACGTGGTTTCCTTTTTTTTGCGGGTGAACGTGGTTTCTTTGGTCTCTCCCTACTCTATTTCAGGAGGATAATGCGCCAGCGTTTTTAACGTGTTTGGGCCTACACAATAAACCAGGACTCTCTTCTCTCTCTCTCTCTCAAAAAAAAGAGACAAACCAGGGCACTTGCGTCTGCGTCCTGGTTACATAGATAGTCCTTTTGTAAGGAATTTTTAGGGTATTATCTCTAGTCGCAGCCGCGGACCTAGAATGATGCCCCAGTTTAAATTACACCAAAAATTATCATAATCTCAATAAATAGTCTGAAAATAGCAACAACTTTAATGAGTACTCAGTGTCAAATGTCTAGTAAAATTTATTTTGTAACTTTGAAGGGGGTGCCATGGCATCCACGACACCCCCATTAGATCCGCCCCTGTTTAGTCGGCACCTAGCCAAACTAAGTCTTTGGACAAGTACAAATTTAAAGGTTTTTTTTTTTCAAAAAGGCAGCCCAAGTATCTTGTTTTTATCCCTTCGACATCACTTATGAGTACAAAATTTCTTCTCCTATCCACATGCCACACCTCCGTCTCCCGTCCCCTCCCCCCCCCTCCCAAAAAAAAAAACTCCGATGACCCTCGCCGACACCAGAATCACGCTGGCGATGAGGAATTTCATGAAATCGTGTTCTATACGATGGTGGTTGTGCTTGTGCGCCTGTGTGTATGCCGACGGCTATGTGTGAACACCTCCGTGTGTCGCGTTAGATGCAGGACATGTTGTGTGTGTGCGCGCGCGTGTTAGCAGCAGAAGAAAAGCGGAAGGGTGTCGACTAGATCTGGCATTGGTCGAAACTGTTGGTGCTCAACGAAGCGGAGTTGTGATGCACGGGGTGGCGAAGTTGGGAGGCAGGGAACTGCTGGAGACGAGTGTGGCTGCTGCTGGAGCTGCTCGAAGACCTCCATGGTGAGCTCCAGCGAGTTGAGCCGCCTACAAATAAATTGGGTGGTCTGCACATGTCAGTGGCGGAGTTAGAGGGTGGACAGGGTGGGCCACGACCCACCCTGAGATTTTTTGAATAGCTTTATAGCATAGGAAAAAAGGTAAAAAAATATTAAGAAATAAATATTTTTTATGAACAGTTCTATTGTTGGCCCACCCTGACCCATTGGGCTAGATCCGCTACTGGCACATGTGCAGCACGGCGGCGAGTGGTTTCCCAATCCATCCAGTTCACTGGCTTATATGTGTGTTGTGTGTGGCCGGCATGCTTGTAGGCTGTGTGTGCATTGAGTGTTGCATTATAAGGGCATCTCCAGCCGTTGGTGTAACGCCCTTGATGCGGCTATACCTCCCACGTGTTGAGGCACGATTTAGAGACATAACCGCATTGAAAGCAATGTCGCAAGTTAGGTAATCATCACAACATCCCATGTAATATATAGAATAAAAGGGGAGATACATAGTTGGCTTACACTCGCCACGTCACATCAAAGTACATAAATAACATACATCATCCAAACACTCATGGCCCGACTACGACGCCAAAATAAAAGAAAACCCAACATGCGACACGGTCCTGATCAACCCCAACTGGACACCACTACTGATCATCAGGAAAAGACACATAGTAACGCTGAGAGTCCTTGTCGAACTCCCACTTGAGCTCATACGCATCACCTCGAGCGGAATCATCTGGACCTGCATCTGGAGTAATAGTATCTGTGAGCCATAGGGACTCAGCAATCTCGCACCCTCGCGATCAAGACTATTTAAGCTCATAGGAAGGGTAAGGCAAATATATGTGGAGCTGCAGCAAGCGACTAGCATATATGGTGGCTAACTTATTCGCAAAAGAGAGCGAGAAGAGAAGGCAAAGCGCGAGCGAGAATCTAGAGGAACAACCTGCGCAAGCATTACTCCAACACCGTGTCCACTTCCCGGACTCCGCCGAGAAGGGGCCATCACGGTAACACACCCGGTTGATTCATTTTAATTAAATTAAAGTTCAAGTTATCTACAACCGGACATTAACAAATTCCCATCTGCCCATAACCGCGGGCACGGCTTTCGAAAGTTCAATCCCTGCAGGAGAGTCCCAACTTAGCCCATGACAAGCTCTCACGGTCAACGAAGGAATAGACCTCCACCCGAGACATTCCGATCAGACTCGGTATCCCGGTACAACAAGACATTTCGACAGGTTAAAACAAGACCAGCAACACCACCCGAATGTGCCGACAAATCTCGATAGGAGCTGCACATATCTTTTTCTCAGGGCACACTCAGATTGTCCAAACTTCCGGTAGGCCAGCCCAGAGTTGCCCCTGGTAGCCACCGGCGGCTGACAGTTTGGACCAACACTCAGAGGAGCACTGGCCCGGGGGGGTTTAAAATAAGAAGACCCTCGGGCTCCGGAAACCCAAGGGAAAAAGAGGCTAGGTGGCAAATGGTAAAACCAAGGTTGGGCATTGCTGGAAAAACTTTAATCAAGGTGAACTATCAAGGGGTTCTCATTATAACTCAACCGCGTAAGGAACGCAAAAATCAGGAAACATAATACCGATATGACGGAAACTAGGGCGGCAAGAGTGGAACAAAACACTAGGCGAGAGGCCGAGCCTTCCACCCTTTACCAAGTATATAGATGCATTTAAGATAACATGGCAATATAATGATATCCCAACAAGTAAATAAATGTTCCAACAAGGAACGCCTCCAATCTTCACCTGCAACTAGCAACGCTATAAGAGGGGCTGAGCAAAGCGGTAACATAGCCAATCAACGGTTTGCTAGGACATGGTGGGTTAGAGGTTTGACATGGCAATTTGGGAGGCTGACAAGCAAAAGGTAGGCATCGTAGCATTGGCATAGCAACAGAGCGAGCAAACTAGCATAGCAAAGATAGTAGTGATTTCGAGGGTATGATCATCTTGCCTGCAAAGCTGTCAGAGTTGACTGGATCCTCAAAAGCAAACTCAACGGACTCCTCGTTAGCGAACTCGTCTCCCAGCTCTACCCAAACAAGACAAACAAGCAACAAGGATACAATCAACCACGTGCAAGCTCAAACAATAAGATGCAATGATGGTATGCTATGCGGGATGCGATGCGGGATGCAAAATGCAAGATATGACAGGAAATGCATGAACCTGGCCTCAACTTGGAAATCCAAGTGTGCCACTGGAAAGATGGGATGAAATCACTTGAAAACGATATAAAGAACGCCGGAATCGGAGTTACGGTTTGGAAATGGCAAGCGATTCAAAATTGGCACCGGTCTGCGATTTACAGCAAGTAGGCATCTAAATGCAGCGAAATGAACATGCTACAGCACTCAAACATGGTATCAAAATAAATGGCAGGGAAGCATTCAAGATGCTTAACAAAAGTCTAGTACTGAGCTACGGCCAATTCATCCATTAAGAGGTTCAAACAAGCATGGCAAAAACACAAATGCAAAACAGATCTCAGACTTAGTGAAATTAACACTTGTCTGAAATTTCAGATCGTGAAGCCCTCTTCGGAGCAACAAAACAACATGCTACCGGACCTGATTATGACAAATGAGAACATGGCATGGAGATACTCAACAAGACTAACAAAAGACCCTTAGTGACCTTGGGCTAAAAGGGATCACAAAATATACTAACAAGCACACGAACATAGCTAAAACATAATCAGTTTTCAGACTTAGTGAAAACTGACATATGCTGAAATTTAACTCACGAAGGCATGTTAACAAGCACGATGCACTCACTACGGTGCAAGTCATGGCAAGGCAAGCATACATCCATTAAGAAGGCACAAAATACAAGCTAGACATGGCAAGAACAATGGCATAGCATGCACGGATCAACTACAACAACATCGGCAAAATCGCAAACAAGTTGACGATCTGCCGAGATTCACAACGAAGCAAAAGTAGAGCTCGATTGACTCAAGCTAGGGTGCCCCATAAATGAAAGTAAAGACATGGATGGATAGACCACTACAAGATTAACAAAACTCCTTTACTGATCATCCTCAAAAGAGGCACGGATCACTAGGAAACAACATGAACATATGGCATCATGAACTAAATAATCCCAGACTTAGTGAAAACTACTAAGTCCCTGAAAACAGATTTACCGGGTGCCTCTCTTTGCAAGCTTGCACAAGTCACCACACACATCACAAAAATGCATGGGTTGCACCTCTGGAACGATAACAAAATCATTAACAAAACATATGTAGGGCTCATGGGCATATCATGCACACAACAATCATGGCAAAAATGACAAAAGCCTAAGATGAACTAGCAGATCTGACAATTAACTCATGAAGCCCTCTTCTAGCAGCATTTCGGACATCAAGATGAACTCAAATGGAAATGATGCAATGGAATGAAATGATGTACTTATCGAGGCGAACATTTTGATATACTATATATCCAAATCGGAACTACGGAAGCGGAGATATGGTAGGTCAAAGTTTGCACAAAAAATAGGGTTCAGAGGAGAAAGTCAACCCTCAAAATTCCAGATCTCAGATCTGAAATTACTATTCACCGAGCGCGCCGTTCGAGGTTCGTCGGCCGGTGATGGCGGTGGCGGCCGGAGATGGAGGGGGTCGCCGGGGTAGGAGAGGAGGAGGCCGGAGAGGGCGGCGGAGCCGGCCGGTGGCGCGCG